TTGCAAAAATTTCAAATTTGCCTTTACTTAATGGTTAAATTACCTATTAAAATATTTTTTTAAACAAAAAGTAATCATCGTTTTTATAAGGAAAAAGTTTATATAAGGATGCAATCTTATAATGTAGAACTACGGATGCACTTAAAAAATTGATAGGAAAAGGTAGTTTAATGTTGAAAAACCTTTGATTGATCATCTCGACATCGAGATCTATGACCATGAAAAATAAAAAGACTTAAAGTCTTAGAAATAGTGCATTTTACAACATATTATCTACACCGTTCATTTTCAAGATTTTCATATATTTATAGATCTATTGATTTTAACCATTTTTTAATTTTAAAATTTTATAATTAAATATAACAATACATTTTGAGATAATCCTAGAACATTTTACATCAAAATTATTTACCATGATAAAATTTGAAGGTGCACCTTACCTCTACAGCTACGAATGCATCTGTATGCCAACTGCACCCTTTTGATAAATACACCCATCACAACCCCTTCTAACTTTAACCTTTGTATTTTGAGGGGTTGTTAATTGTGACGACCAAACTTTTCCCGACCAGTTAGAAGGCATGGCGGGATAGGGAGGTTGGAGAAGTGGCCAGTGCTGAGTGAGTTGGAGAAGAGGTCAGCATTGGGTGAGTTGGAGAAGAGGTCAGCATCGGGTGAGTTGGAGAAGAGGTCAGCATGGGGTGAGTTGGAGAAGAGGTCAGCATGGGGTGAGTTGGAGAAGAGGTCACTGCCGGTGAGTTGGAGAAGGGGCCAGCGCCGTGTGAGTTGGAAAAGAGGCCAGCACCGGGTGAATTCGGAAGAGGCCAGCATCGGGTGAGTTGGAGAAGAGGCCAGCCCCGGGTGAGTTGGAGAAGAGGCCAATGTCGGTGAGTTGGAGAAGAGGCTGGCGCCGAGTGAGTTAGAGAAGAGTGCCAGTGCCGTTTGGAATTGAGTGCAGCGCCGGTTGAAGTTGTGGCCAACGCTGGCTGTATAGATGGTCAGCACAGGCTGCATATCTGACATGCATGAGTTGAAAGTGACACTTGTTTAATGCATGCTGTTGAGAGTGCTACTTGTCCAAATTTTGAGCCACCTTGGTGACACTTGGCCAGCCACCCCAAATCCATGAGTACTTAAGTCACTCCTCTAACCCACGCCACTCACTCTTCCCTCATTTTCTCCTCTCTCTAAGACTTAAGGTGTGAAGAAGTGACTGGTGGAGGGCAGCCATTGTTAAGTAGGTGAGAGCTGTGAGAAGAGGATTGGAGAAGGTCCCTTTGTTACTCATGTAAGTAGATCCATTACCCTTGTATTGTAGTCTTGGGAATGCATGGAAACTTAGGCATGTGAATGAAGAATAGAAACGTATGTGATGTAGAAAAACCTTACACCTTTTTGCAATGATATTTGGCGCTTTTGTTCAATGATAATGATGAATGTGAGAATGGATACATGATTCTTATATTATGTAAAAAATGCATGTTATGTGTGTTTACATTGTGAGAGAATGGATGTTATCATGTTCTTCACTATGAAATGACAGTTATGGAATGCATTCTTGAGACATGTTAAATAACACCATGAAATTCCAGGAATATATGTGTTCTTGAACGAGGCTTTGGAACTATCAAATGGGGTCTGATTGATCTCAAACCACCCCCATTGAAAATATTTATGAATCTATTTTAATGTTCATGTTTTCATCTTGTCTTGATTCTTCATATATAAAAAGTTATATTTCGAAATGTGAAGGTATGTCACTGTGGACAGTTTTAGCAAAAGCACAGATTTAATGCCTCTAATGTCAGTGAGTTTGACTGACCAAAATATATCCATTTCTGCTCAACCACTGTCATTGGAACTGTTTATGAGTTAGCTTTAATTCACATGTTGAGCACTTTTTGAAAGTCCTTAAGAAAATGAGGTAATGTTCCAACATATGAAGGTACGTCACCGTTAACTGTTTCCTGGATTTTTCATTTATACCACTGTAGTCACTGATTTCAACTAATCAAATGACACCCATTTTTGGCCAAACCACATCCATTTGAAATATATTTGAATGGCCTAAAAGTCCCATGTAGAAATTATTTTGAAATTATTTTTTGAAATAAAAGTTATACTTCATTTTATGAAGGTATGTCGCTCTAGGCAGTATTGATAGAATTCAGAACTGTCACCTTGATTGGCCCAAACATTTGAACAATCAAATGGAGTCCAAATGTTTCCAAGTTCGTCTTGTTGGAAAGATATATGTCTTGAATCGAACTTTGATTTTGAAATGGTCTTAAAATTCTTTACGGTTCGAAAGTTATAGTGATGTGAAGCATGGTACTCTATTACTTCGTGATACTGATACAAATATTCCATGACATCGATACTGTAAAAAGGCAATACCGATACTGTTATTCTGCAATATTGATACTATCACTCTATGATATTGATGTTGTCATCCTGTGATACTGATACTGATGTACTGCAATACTGTGAATATGACACTGGGATTCTGTTATATGAATATTGATATATGTGTCACGAACGCTATACAGTGGGTTCTCTATTGGTAGTGAATATTCTGACTCTGTTATATGGAAACTGTTACTCTATGACTTCTGGCCATTACGCAATGGGTCCTCTATTGGTAGTGGGTATTCTGAATTTTGTCATATGCATTCTTTTATATGTGATTTTTGGCCACTACACAATGGGTCCTCCATTGGTAGTGGATATTCTGATTTCTGTTTCATGACTTCTATTATTCTGAGATCTCTGGCCACTATGCAATGGGTCCTCCATTGGTAGTGGATATTTATGATTCTGTTATATGAATTCTGTCATTTTGTGATTTCTGGCCACTATGCAATATGTCCTCCATTGGTAGTGGATATTTCTGATTCTGCGACCGCTATGCAATGGGTCCTCCATTGATAGTCGGGTATTATGTACCTCGACTCCTATGATAGGAGTGGAGTCGAGATGTGGTTGTTTATTACTGGGAGCGTCGCGTGCCCCATATTGTTCTGGGCACTATGCATTGGTTCCTCTTAAAATATGTTTATTCGCTTTTATATGAGAAGGTAAATTGCTCCCAAGCCCTAGTAGCAGACCTAGTGGAAGTGAGAGGAGATAAGGTTAGTTGGAATATCACTTTCCCTTATGATAGAATCCATTGCTATCTTTATCAATCGCTTATCCAGCTGCTACAGGATCTTCAGCCGGTGGTTATCCATCCGCACCTTGAGGATGAATTAGTTTGGGAAATAGATAATGATGACCAGTTTTCTGTTAGATCGGTTTACAAACTTCTTTTCTTCGATAGAGTGCGGTGGAGCCTACTGAACATCTCGCGGATTTGGAGATGGGTTGTTCCTCAAAAAGTGTAAGTTTTTTTTATGATTAGATTTTCAGGATAAAATCCTTACCGTTGATAATCTTATTAAGAGGGGGAAGATAATCACGAATATATGCTTAATGTGTAAGGAGGATGGAGAAACGAGAGCGCACTTATTTATACATTGTGCTCTTTTATCCAAAATTTAGTGGTGGTGTTTTCAAATGATAGGGATAAAGTTAGCGTTGCTGCAAAATGTTGTGGATTTGATTGTTCAAATGGATACACCTTTGCCCAAAATTGGAAGATTTATTTGGAAAATCCTGCGGGGAGCTATTTTATGGGAAGTCCGGTTGGAGAGGAATGTGATAACTTTTGAAGGGGTGGCTAATAGCTTTGAAAGGGTGTATAGTAACATCAAGTTATCTCTTTGGTCTTAGATCTCAATTACCAAAGAAGGGATAAGTATTTCTAAAATTGATGTTACGATTAATGTTTCGAATTTATTTCAGATGGATGTGTCTCGAAATAGACCAAGTGCTAGATGGAGTCCACCAGATCAGGGTATCCTAAAGTTAAATTTTGATGGTAGTTCTTTGGAGAACCTAAGCCGTGCAGGTTTTGGTGGTGTGATTCATGATTGGCAAGGGAATGTTGTACTTGCATATGCGGGGCCTTGTGGTTCTACTACGGCACACCACACTGAATTATTCAGAATTTTGCATGGTTTGAAACTCCTGATGGCAAGGTACTCTGGATATGGCTTTATTATTGAAGGAGATTCGTTGAATATCTTCAAATGGTGCAAGAAACAACCACGTTTTTTGTGGCAACTTAAATTGATAGGCCTGGAAATTTTTGACATGTTGGCTTTGGTGACTGTTTCCCTAGAACATCTGTATAGGGAGGCAAATGATGTGGCTAATTCTTTGGCCATGAGAGGCACGGTTTTAGATGCGTTGGTAGTTGCTAATAATGTAGTTTTGTTAATGTAATTTGCTTTTATAATGAATAAATTTTGAACTTTGTCAATTTTTTTTTTATAATTAGAGATGAAACTATATTTTAAGGGGGTGCAGTTTGCAATATGTAGGTGTAGAGGTAAGGTGCACCTTCAATTTTTATCATGGTATATAATTTTGATGTAAAATGCTCTTAGGATTATCTCAAAATCTATTTTTATATCTAATTATACAATTTTAAATTTCAAAAATGGTTAAAATCAAGTAGATCAATAAACATATGAAAATCTTGAAAATGGACGGTATAGATAATATGTTGTAAAATGCACTATTTTTTATAGTTAAAATCTTTTTATTTTTCATAGTCATGCGTCTCGATGTCGAGATGATCAATCAAAAGGTTTTTCAACATTAAAATTACCTTTTCTTATAGATTTTTGAGGGGCATCCGTAGTTCTACATTAAAAGGTAGTATCCTTATATAAACTTTTTCTATTTTAAGGTTATCACAAAGATCTCCCGTAATGAAACCACATTTCTCAATACTATTTGAAGGTGCCCTCTATTTTGATTGTTTAGAGCCTCGGTTCTATACAAACCGCACTCTAAAATATATGAAGTTTGAAAGAGGGCTTGAGTTGATGGTATGATCCGGTTCCGTCCCTCTGTCTCCAGGGTTTAAATTCACGCAATCTAGAGTCCGCAGAGGTATGTTTGCTTCCTTGCGCGTTAGGGTTTTGTTTCCTCAATCCAAATGTGTTTCTCAGGTAGAGAGAGAAACAAAATATAGGAAGAGTACCATGAGAAAAGCTACACTACCGTCATTCTCTCTCTCTGTCCATCTTGTCCATTATTTTTTTTTTCAGTTTTTGTTGCTTTTCTGTGCTTTATATGCCTATGTTATGTTTTATCCAGCTTAAAATTTTAGGGCTTCTTCCATGTTTACTCTGAACTTAATTCAACGTTTACCTTTTCCAAGGCCTCTCATGCTTAGTTTTAAGGCAATAAGGTTATATTATACAGTATTTTTTTTATTGGGGCTTCTTTAATGATCAATTTGAAATTTATTCATACCTGTTTCAAGTTCCTTTCTTGCACATTGTACCCAATAAAATTGAGCTGAAAGAAAATAATGAAGAACTTGCCTACCACCTTGATCTTTTTGCTATTTGTCTGTACTTCCTCTAGGCCCTTTATGGGTTGCACTACTATTATTTTATTTTATGTTTTATTTATTCGTAATAGGCTTAATATATGCGACCTGTCTCACTCATATACATAGTTCATTCATTTCATTTCTTTCATCGACATTCGACGATAGCATCTTTTTCTCATAGCTAAATTGTTATGATAAGATTTTGTGGTCTATCTATGCTGTTTGAAGACTTGAACTATACACTAATTACATATGTGATCATATGAATGTTATATTAAATGGATCACAATACATTTTATATGTCAATGGCTGTACTTTTTTGTGAGTGGTCTGAAATTTGTATGGACCAGATATAGTAATTTTTCAAGCATATATATGCGAAGTAATACTTTCCCATTGTAGTATACATCTGTTAGAGGACCCATGAGTTGTACTGTCACCCTATAGATCTGAATATCAGATCATGTTCACGTACTTGTATATGACTAGAAACGAAGCTACAATAATTTTTAAATAACAATACATTGTGTAATTGTTTAATTTTCTTGAAGTCCCTTGGGGAGTTCATACATATTATGTCCTCCAGCCTCATAAATTGTCAGCATATAGATTATAATGTCCTCATCATGGTTATGTATTTCTGTTGAGCCTTATTATAGTTATATTATTATATATGTACTAACTTGATACACACATACATACATACATACATACATGCATGCATGCGTGCATGCATACATACATACATACATACATATGTGTGTGTGTGCATGCCTGCATGCGTGTCTGGATAGATACTCCATATGGTTGTTTATTATACAAGGGTAATCTATTCATTACTGGTTTTGAAATACAGTAGAACTTAAAGACAACAAACACAAGAATTTCCAAAAGAACACGGGAGACCTATGGTGCCCTATACTGTTATTTGTTATGCCCATCCTGGCCAGCCCAGTAGTGTCGTCAGATAGAAAACCTATATTCGTTATATAAAACTTCAAAAGTGGATCATTGATTTTCAGGAATTTCTCCTATTTTCCATTGCATTGAAGAGCCCCACTTGAATGAATCCTTGACATTTAGCAAATCATAGTTACTGCCTTTGGGGCCTGCATAAACTCCATAGGATCTGGGTTCTTCTAGAACCACGTTCTCTTTGAGCAAAATGACAACTTCAATAGTTCCTTCCAAATTCCATATGTCAGCTTTTCTCAAATATATTCATTATAGATCAGCTGCTTGAAATTTTCCCACATGGCATTAGTTGGCGTCTATGCTGCTTCTATGTGAGATTTGATTCTCTCCAATTGGCTAGTGCCCATGATTCATTCTTTAAGGTTTGCTACTCCAATCTATCACTTCATGTCTCTATTGGTCACATGAAATGTGTGTTGTCAAATGATTTTGATCACTATGTCCATATGAGGTACTCTGCCTACGAAAGCTGTCATCTATCTCCTTCCAAATGGTAGCTAGGTTCTTCTTCTTTTTTTTTAGCTAGGAATCCAGATAAGATGGCCTGAATAAAACCAAAATTTTCTCCTTTAGCTAATTTTTGCTGATCTAAATCCATCAATGTAGGATTGTTCTAACAATTCATATCAAACATAAATAACATCTTTGAGTGGGTGGGGTTTTTTGGGCCTCTTCTTCTTCTTGTTTGGAGGGCACTTTCCCCTTCTTCTTCTTCTCCTCACTTGAAGGTTGCCTTGAGCACTCGCTTCTTCTTCTATGCACTCCATGTCGCTTGTCTAGGCGACTCCTTGGCTCAAATGTGGGTCCTTTTAGTTATGAGCGCATTAGGTGCTTGCTTAGGGCCATTTGGTGTGGGATGGGGTCTTGACCACCTAGACAGCCTGCATAGGCTGCAAGGCATGTGAATTTTTTAACGCTGCACATAAGGGAGGGAGGGAGCGAGGGATAGTGCGGGATGGGGCCTTCACTGCCTAGACGGCCTGCCTAGGATGTTAGGTGACCGAATTTTTGAACACTGCACTTGAGGGAGTGAGGGATGGAGGGAGTTAAGGGAGCGCCCACCAAATGGCATATGGGCAATGAAAGGGAGAGCCAGTTACCAGCGAGGTCAGAAGCATGGAGAGATAACTAGGGAAGAACCCTTAGTAGGCTCTCTTGGATTGGGTATTTGGTATATGCAATGTTGCCAGCAATGCCTTTACAAGATGTTAAAAGTTTATTTCATGACTTTTCAAGATGTATTTGAGTTTATGATATTGTTTGATGACCTTGTCAATTTAGGCATTAATGAAATGTTTATATATTGTATGATGGAGTTGAGCTGTGTAAGGTAACTTTGCTTTAACATCACATTAGTTTTATTTTGAATCCATATACAAAATGCTTGCATCAGCATGGCTTATGTTTGTTGCATAGGCTCACCATGACGAAGGAGCCTTCCAAAGTTATTCATGTTCGTAATGTCGGGCATGAAATATCTGAGGTAATTTGTGTACTTTTTCCTTTTTTTGTTGAAACTATTCTTTATAAAAACTCTTGACATATATTGGTTTGTGAATTTTAAGATGATTTGCTTCAATTGGTGCAACCTCTTGGTGTTGTCACTAAGCTTATCATGCTATGTGCTAAGCATCAGGCAATGTTAAAAAATTCGATCGCTTGGCTGCCTAGGAAGCAGGGAGGCCAAAACGCCTGGTCGGGGCCTAGGTGGGTGCCCTAGGCGTCCTTGCTTCTAGGTGCCCGCCTAGGTGGCCCCTTAGAGGAACTTGGCTGATGGCAGAAAAATGCCCTTGAGAGGGGGCATTTTTGGGTTCTTGAGATTTTTTCCCCCTATTAAAGGGGAAAAGGGTTTCGGGAGATATTTGAGCCCACTTGTGCATTCTAGAGAGAGCATGAGGATGATGCCCCACTGTGCTTGTGTTTGAGAGAGAGATAAAGAAAGAGAGCAAGGACGATGCCCCATTGTGATTGGTCATATTCTATCAAATATAGGATGCAGTGTTTTAAAATGCGGCTGCATCGTCGCATATGCGGCTGCATCAGGTGTTATGCGCTGCCCAGCTCATCGCACATGACCGCATATGCGGTTTGGATAGATGCGCATATGCGCGCATCCCTCCGCATCATAGCCGCATCCCGCATCGACCGCATCATATTGCATGTGCGGTCCGCCATTTTTTTTGAAACTAAACTCCACGGGCAGGGGTAATAAGGTCATTTGACCCCCAAAAAATGAGGGGAAAGGGTTTAGTGGAGTATTAAAGCCCGCAAACATCATTTTTCAGTCACATCTGTGGCTTTTATTGGATCGATTAAATGAAAAAAAAAATTGGCAGAAATTTTATTTTGTGAAGTTCTTCGATTTGTGTATTGGTTGATGCTTAGTTGTTGGTTTGTATCTTTTGGGTGTTGATTTGAGGAAGTTTAGGCGAACTTGTGACAACAAATCGAGGGTTTCAAGGGCCGTGAAGGTAGTTTTATGAAGCTAGTTTCAAGTTTCTAGTTTCTATCAAGATATAGTGGATACAAAATCTCCGACAGTTGATACTTTCGGAGTTAATGAATAAACTAAATACATACTATCACATATATCACTTTCATATTTTTTTTATGCATTAATCTATTTTTTTAGATTTTTTTTTATATTTATTGACCGCATCGTGACGATGCACCCGCATTTGGACTGCATCGTGCTACATCGGTCCCCCCCAACGCATACGGCCGCATCCCGCATTTCAAAACACTGATTGGATGTAGAGCTCTTTTTTATTTTTGATGTTGGTTGCCTTTGCTTAGCATATTTCTGAAAAGGGTTTCTACAATTGGCATTTCTTATGAAAAAATATCCTTTTTGGTTGTCATTACCTTTAGATGAAAAGCACTCATTCTTTTCTTCATACCTAACTTTATATGTATGTGTCATGAATGACATGCTTAAGTGCAATGTTCTGATCCTCATTAAATGTCATAGAGGCTTAGACTAATGAAGCCTTAACTCAAGAGTAAACCATCCTCTTCATAAATGTATTGCCTAATGGGGAAAAATATGTTCATATGCTACTGTAAAAGCCTCATATGAAAAGGCACCAATGAACTATCATATGTAATTAATATGATAAATTTTATTGTCTGGTTTATTTAAAAAAAAGTTGGTGTCAGATTTTCTAATATGGTGCACTGGAATGTTTGTTTATTCTGGATCTAATGGGAGCTGAATGTCATGTGTCTATTCTCTTTTCTGTGCTGCTTCTGGCTACTTCTCTCTATTCATCCTTCTCTCTTTTGTTGGCGTCCCTCAGGATTCACAACCAAACCAAGTTCTCTTAGTTACATTTCATCATCAGCTCTATCCTATAACAGACGAAGTTCTTCACCAAGTTTTTTCTCCCCATGGATTTGTTGAGAAGATAGTGACCTTTCAGGAGGCAGCTGGTCAGTTTCGAGTTTCTCTCTTTCTTCTTTCCTCTCTCTTCTTTCTGTTCTTGAAGATTGTTTGGATGGATGGATATGGCATGTTTCCCATCCGGAATGGTTCACAAAATTCTATTTTTGTCATTCGCATGGTGCTTGTGTATGCTAATATGTGGATGCTATTTTTGTCGTATGTTTTGAAGCCTTGATTTGATTAGAGCCCATGAAGATCCCGCTGCGCCTTTTGTTAATTGCTTTCATGCTTGTGCTTAGTTATTGTTTTTAATGTTGTTGCCACTTTGATGCAGGGTTACAGGTTCTTATCCAGTACCAGGATTGCCAAAGTGCCACCCGAGCCAGGACTATGCTGCAAGTATGTACATTTTCATATTTCTTTTTATTATAAGTTGGGTGTGGTTATTGAGTGCTTTAGGCTTAGGAAGCTGAACACTGGTGGATTCATTTTAGCAAGGGCACAACATTTATGATGGTTGCTGTCAACTTGATATCCAGTTCTCCAATTAGGTGCTTGTCTCAGCCAATTCATTCAGGTTGGGTTTGATTTAGTCCCTTCCTTTAAATGATCAGCCAAAATTACAAAAGAAAATGAATGTAATTTTCAAGGTTTCAAAAAACGCTAGCGCCTGGCACCTAGCACCCAGCGCCTAGGTGGACCCCCATAATGTGAAAAATTCTTTCCATATATGTGTATGCATATATTTGTGTTAATTTTGCAATGTTTTGCATTTATATGTATTGTAACTAACTTTTTTCATACAAACATTTCACCTGTTAAGAATAAACATGTTCAGAACTTCAAATCATAGAGAATTTAGTGAAGACTTTTAAAAGTCCATATTGTATTAGTCTCGAACTCTCCATATTCCACAATCACATGGACTCCAAGTCAACTAACTTACAAAATATAAAACCATTAGCCCAAAAAGGCAAAAACTCCCAAATGCAAATTTCCAAACCAATATGGTGCAATAAAGATGAAATCCAATAGAAGAGAGAGGACATCTTCATTTCTCTATCATCAGCAGTCAAAAACATAATCAACATCATTACTTCCATCCCCATCTGAATCGAGGCTGTCATCATCATAATCTTCATCCTCTTCAACATATTGCTCTTCTTAGTTTCTTCTGAATCTACCTCCTCCTTCTCTATCTCCCTGCCTTGTGTGATATACCAGCAGCAGTTGTTGCTCGAGTGGCACTCTTAGGATCAGAAGCTGGACCCGAAGCCTCCTCGAACATATCCCAGGTCCAACCCTCCTCCCCAAGAAGGACCTCTTCAATACCAGGGTCTTCAACTGACCACTATGAAGCATTTTCCTTGTCTTCTGAAATGATGGGATCCCTCTTTCATTGCTTGAACTTCTCCTTGAGCGGCTGATTCTCTCTAACAAGTACCAAGTCATTGAGCTTCCTTTGCTTAATTCTGCTGACAACTAGAATAGCAAATTATCAAACTCAAGACCACTGGGCTGCAATTTTTTTGCAACCTTTATAATTAATTTAAGTATTTAGCATTATCATAAACAATTTTAGCAAATTTAAAATATAAATTATTATTAGGAACTTGAAAGAAAATTTTCAAACAAAATATATTATCTTGATCTGATTTTCTCCTCTCTTAGTGCCATTTCTTTCCCAAATGACTTCAAAGCACACTTATACAAGATGAGTTTTTCAGTTGATATCTTAAATTGGATTTCTGAATCGCGAACTAATCTCTCAAGGCACTCATTAAAGCCATCCGTAATTGTATCGTTTCTCTCAATATCTAAGTCAACATAAGAGAACTTGGGGTTCAAGTAGTACTCTGCTGCATGCAATAATCTATGAAGCTTCCCATCCCACTTGTCATTTGTAATCTGCCAAGTTGGGCGGTACTGGGCCTCCTCATTGCCCAAATTCTCTGCAATCTCCTTCTTAGCTCCTTCACGTGCGTCATATATAGCATCAGCCATGTGTAAAACCTTCACCAAGCGTAGAAATACTGTTATCACTTGCTTTATTCCATGCCAAAAATATTTTTAAAAGAATAATATTGTGGGCCTTCTTTCCCTTGGCATCTGTAGACCACCTACACTTGCTCCAATCCTTTGAAGCGAACATAGTCCTCAACAAGATCCTCCTTTTATGCATGCTCCTTGAGACCAAGATAAGTAGTGGCAAAACTAGTGACCCTCACTAGGTCCCTCTTCTTTTGTAAACTTGGGCATCATGCTAAGGGTAATGGTGCGACTGTATACGAAGATTGTAACCTCCTTAGCCTTAGAAAGAATTCTTCTAAGAGTAGGAATGTCACCAATGCCCTGAAGCATAAGATCTATGCAATGTGCAGTGCAAGGATTCTAAAATATGAGGCCTCTTTTGGCGAAGAAAATGAGCTGTAGCTAAATTAAGAGCAACATTATCTTTGACCACTTGAATTACGTGCTCTCCCAACCTCCTCAATGCTCTTATCAATAAAAGAGAACATATAATGGGCATCATGAACCTCAATAGAAGCATTACAAAAAAATGTACCCAAGGAACAATTTACCAATAAATTGATAGTACTCCTCATATCAGTCCATAAATCGGTCATTATGGAAACCCCAAAGTGAGCTCATCCATCCTTATTGGTCTTGATATATTCCTTAGTATGCTTAACCTCTTTCATTAGTAGTGGCTTGCTAAGCTCATATGGACTTAGGCCTTTAAACCTTGGTCCAAATTGGCCAATTGCTTCCAACATTGTATTGAAGCTATTCAATCAAGCAGTATTAAAAGAAATGTCTGCAGGGTAAAAGCCACTGAGCAATATACTTAATTACCCTTGCTCAATTTTCCTTTTTAAGTCTAGTTCTTGCTTTTTCCTCTTACTTTTCCCTTTCTCAATTACTCTCTTGTGGCCCTTTCATATGAGGCCTCTTAGGCTCGAAAGCCCTCTTGCTCTTAGAACTTTGAGGGACCACCACCTGGCCTACCCCCTTCTTCATCCTTATCAATGTCATCATCATTAAAAATATTGATCCCTGCTCTCAACTCTGTTATATCTTTTTCCTTTGTTAATCTTTTATCTTTTTCAGCTTCTAATGTACTTATAAATCTCTTTATTTACAAGTTTGGGAAGCTTTTACATGGAGGCACATCACCTTTAATATTGGCAAGATGTTTCGTGAATCTATTTATGCCGGTATTAGAAACATGTCCATAAAAGTTGCACATAATTTTGTTTTTGTCATTTTCATCCTGGTTAACACAATCCTTCCATCCCGGATCTCCAACTCTTAGTAGACCCCGTAGAAGTTACCTCAAATCCAAAAAAAGAATCTCAAATACATATTATATACTAACCTTTTTGCCTAATCTCTGCTCTTCGATGTTCGTGATGTCAATCGAGCTACGACTCACGTCAAAAGTCTCCTAATACCTCCACCAGCACCTTAACAAAATTCCAATAAGAAAAGATAAGCTTTTGGATGCTTCAAACCTCAAATTTTTTTTTTTCGATTCACATAAATAAGTGTAATAAACTGATGTAGAGCTTATATGTTTTTTTTTTTGGTTTATACCCCTCAATACTCTTTTAAAATATCTTTGTCGGTCCAAATTACATGAAATGCACTTAGGGTTCACTTCAAAGACGGAAAAGGGCGCACAGCCTTGGGCACCCAGGACTAAGCGTGTGCCCTAGGGCCGCTTGGGCACTTAGGAGGGGCCCTTTTTTCAAACACTAGTAATTTTCCAAATTCATTAGTCCTTTCAGTCTTTTAGAGTTAAGTGCAATTCAATAATGAAAGATCTAGGTGAGTTAATTGCTCTTTGTGGATTTTTGTCCTTAGCCAGATGCAGATGGTTGAGTTTTAGAAGGATAATTGCATGAAATATTTTTGGTAACATCCTTTCGAGCTCATGATATTGGCTGTTTGATTTGTTATTGTTTACAGGGATTTTGCTAATCCACCTTTGCCCAATGAACAGAAAGGCATGCCATCGGAAGGAGTCTTGGTATACATTATGCTAGATATTTATGGACCCATATCATAGTTGTTGGGATCAGGAGTGCGAATGGTACTGAGATCGGTATCGGGAGCTGGGGATCGTGAATTGCTAGTAGATTTCTATGTTTGGGAACGCCATCAGCACAATGCATGTGTTACGGATCGGGATCTCCAAATGTTAGGGATCGAGATTCCAACCCTTTGGGGATCTTGATCCCATGTTTTTGGGGATCTTGCTACGAACCGTAAAGTGCATGATAATTTACGATTATGTTTACTCATTAAAATAGGGACCTCCTTATTGATGGCAAGCATGCAATGCAACTATATTTAAAAGTATAGTTGTGATGCTAGCAGGCTATAAACAAAGAAAATCATCAGTTTGGTGGTTGTCTTGGTCTTTAACATTGGGATCGAGATCCCTAACAACAGGAATCCAGATCTCTATCAGGAGGGATCGAGATCCCAAAATTTAAAATTTGTGATCCCTAAGAGATCCATTCTAAGAGCGACAAAATTGAGATCCTAGAAGGGATGCCTACCAAAGTTGGAGATCCCGGTAACTACGACCCACATTTGTTTGATGCATCGTTCAAGACTGTGTTTTAGAACATTCTTGCTATCCTTGTGTGAAATATTCTTTGTGGTTGTGTGATTATCTTTAGATGAAAAGCACTTATTCTTTTGTTTATACCAATGTTAATAGTTACGTGTCATGAATGACATGATTAAGTATTGGACCTTATTAAATGTCATAGAGGCTTAGACTGGTGAAGCCTTAACTTTAGAGCATGCCATAGAGGCTTAGACTGGTGAAGCCTTAATTTTAGAACAAACCATCCTCTTCATAAATCCATTGCCTAATGGGAAAAATATGTTCATATGCTAAGTGGAAACCTCATACAAAAAGGTACCAATAAACCATCATATGTATGGGCGCGGTTTGTATAAGGTTGTGACCTTAAACAATCCAAAAAAGGTGCACCTCTAAATTTTATCATAAGATGCAAAATTAGTATGAAACTTTTTTAGTGTGGTCCTATTATCTATTTTCATCTTTAATTATGAATTTTTAAACTTTAAAAGTGGTTCAAATCAATTAGATCTATAAACATATGAAAATCTTGAAAATGGAGGGTCTAGATAATGTGTTGCAAAATGCACTATTTTTGGGACGGAAATCTTTATTTTTTTACGTACTCATACATCTTGATGTCGAGATGATCAATTAGAGGGTTTTCCAACATCAAAAACCACCTTTTCCAATGGATTTTGAGGTGCACCTTAATTCTACATTTTAAGGTTGCGACCTTATATAAACTTTTTCCAATATGTATTAAATATGATACATTTGATTGTCTGGTTTATTTAAAAGAAGAAATTGGTTGTCTGATTTCCTGATAATGTGTTCTGGAGAGGTTTTTTTCTTTTGGATGTAATGGGAGGTAAATGTCATGTTTCTCTTCTCTTTTTTGTACTTCTGACTTCTTCTCTCTATTCATTCTTCTCTCTAGTCTATTTTCTGCTGGTATACTGTTGACGGGCCTCAGCATTCACAACCCAGCCGAATTCTCTTAGTTACGATTCATTACCTGGACTATCCTATAACAGAGGAAGTTCTTCATCAAGTTTTTTCTCCTCATGGATTTGTTGAGAAGATTGTGACCTTTCAGATGGAAACTGGTTAGCTTTAAGTTTTCTCTCTTCTTTTCTCTCTTTTTTTTCTGTTCTTGAAGATTGTTTGGATGGATGGATGTGGCATGTTTCCTGTCTAGAATGGTTCATAGAATGTTATTTGTCATTCTCATGCTGCTCGTGCATGCTAATATATGGTTGCTATTTTTGTTGCATGTTTTGAAGACTTGATTTTATTGGTAACCATGAAGATCCTGCAATATCTTTTGTTAATTGCTTTAGGCTTTAATGTTGTTGCCACATTGATGCAAGATTTCACGCTTATATCAAGTACGACACTTGCGAAAGTGCTGTTCTAGCTAGAAACATGCTGCAAGTATGTAGATTTTCATATTTCTTTTCCTTATAAGCTGGGTGTCTTTATTTAGTGCTCTAGGCATAGAAAGCTGAACACTGGTGGCTTCACTTCTGCAGGGGCGCAGCATTTATGCTGGTTGCTGTCAACTTGATATCCAGTTCACCTAGTAAGTGCCTGTGTCACCCAATTCATTCAGTTTGGGTTTGATTTAGTCTCTTCCTTTACATGATCTGCCCAGATTATAGGAAAATGAAATGTAATTTGGTCCTCAAGTCTTCTAGAGTTAAGTGCACTTTAATAATGAAAGATCTAGGTAAGTTTATTGCTCTTTGTGGTTTTTTCTTAGCCAGATGGGGATGGTTGAGTTTGAAAAAGTATAATTATGTGGAATATTTTTGGTAAAATCTTTTCAAGCTCATGATACTGGCTGTTTGATTTGTCATTGTTTGCAGGGATTCCACCAATCCATCTTTGCCCAATGAACAGTAAGGCATGCCATTGCAAGGAGTCTTTCTATACATTATGCTAGATATTTATGGACCCGCATTTGTTTAATGCATCATTTAAGAATATGATTTAGGAACATTGTTACTTAACCGATTGAGAGAGAGAGAGAGAGAGAGAGAGAGAGAGAGAGAGAGAGAGAGAGAGAGAGAGAGAGAGAGAGCGACGACGACGACGTACGTACGTACGTACGTACGTACGTACGTACGTACGTACGTAGTACGTAGTAGTAGTAGTTAGTAGTTAGTTACGTTAGTT